ACCTTCCATAAGGCTCCTATAACGGTGACTACCCACCTGAAAATGTCCTAGACAAGGAACCCTACAGACTAATATTGGTACGTAACCATTCCGGCTTCTACAGTGGTCAAGCTGTCAACTGAAGGATCCATGTACCTAGTCAAAAGCTGTGATACATCGAACGCCGATTTCTCATTGTGTTGGTCTTTCGGGTCAGAGGGATGATTAAAGTTGAGGCTGGGTTCTGAAGGTGAGGTTTAGGGTTTAGTTCTGAAGGTGAGGCAGGGAGAAAAAACAGCCTTCGAGTTCTGGCACAGTCTTTTTTAGCCAAGTGAGGAACATCTTAATCGTAGTTCTTCGAAGTCGGAAGGCATACAATAGACCTGTACAGAAACGTTTCAAAGACTATTTTATATTACCCTTGAAGACGAGAGACTTTCGTGTTACTCCTCGAAATCTCCAACATTTGCCAGGGCATCGAACGCCCTCAACTCGGAACCGCCACCGTGAACCCTACACGACCTCACGGCGTTCAGCGTAAACCCTAAACCCTGCACCCTCCCTCTAGCTGCCTCACAGTGTTCAGGTTCTCCACAATGTGGAACAAGAGGTTCATGAAGCCGGGCCCCGACGGATAGCCGGAAGGCGGGAAGTCTGCTGTCGGAACCTCGTGGAGAGGTGTCGGAGCGGGGTAGTGATTCAAGGGATACGGCTTTGAGGGTTGAGGGTCTAGGGTTTCGAGTTTAAGGTTCAGGGTTCAATTGTTAGAAGCTCCGCCGTGCTTAATTTGCTGAGGGGAGCCTGCCCATCGATGTCCGGACAGAACTTCAGCGCAAAGCACAGGATATTCAGCTTTTCAGCCACGTCTAGGCAGTGGGTGTTTCCCATGGAGGTGGTGACGATCATGTCACACTGGTGCTCCTGCGCTGCCTCATAGATCTTCTCGCCTTCGGTGCCGCGGGCCAAAAGCAACATAAATAGGGTTTTAGGGTTTAGGGTTTAGGGTTTTCCCTAAACGCGAAACCCCAAACCCAACCCTAAACCGGTTTCGGTTAGGCTTTGGGTCGTGGCTTTAGGAGATGTAGGCTTAGGCTTAAGGTTCGGGGTTGAAGAACCCGCGCACATGAAAAGCTAGCCCCCCCATTCCCTTCATGCTCTCCGGCTACGCCTTGCATATCAGGACACTTAGTCGGAAGCCACACCCTCCTGACAGCCTAGTATAGGCTTAGGGTTTAGGGTGTAGGGTTTAGGAGGGGCCTGGAGAGTGGTAGTGTTGTTCCTTCTCGGGCTTCTCATCACATTCATAGGATTTATTAACCCACAACCCTAGTCTATCAAGGCCCCTTTCATAAACCCGACACCCCCTCTGAGACCCGGTCGCTATCGCTGCCAAGCTGCCAACTGTAGTCCAAGCGTCGCCGTACCAGCCCCGGTCCGCATACACCTGGCAGAACTCCCAATCCATAAGCGTACTAGAGGGTATTGGTATGGGGGCCGTGTTGATAAGAATTTTTGTGACATGAAACAGGGTCTGGGGCTTCAGGGCTGAGGGTTTAGGACCCAAAGTAGCTCGACCATGAATTGCGAGGCCTAGCTTCCTACGCCCACAGGTCCTATAGGTGCTTTTGGCGTCTTCCTAGGAACACTTGGAGCTGAGAACCGGCGAACCTCAGAGGTTTAGGGTTTAAGGGTGGCTCCCTAGACCAGGAACCCACATGCAGGACCCCTTCAAACCTCGAGGGGGGAATCCTGCCTGGTCTGCACGGGTCTTGCCGGTGAGGTAGTCCTTCCAGGAATCTTCTGCGATGATCTGTCTTGCTTGCGCGAGCTTCCAGGCTCACGTGTCGCGTTTGTGGCAGGGTGTTGTGGAGGGAGCTCCGGCAACCTTTACTTCGCCCGGATTCTGAGCATGCTTTCTGGTACGAAGAAGGCAAAATCACCCTAAACCCTAAACCCTAAACCCCAACAAGTTCCGGTCAGACTACGACAAGAAGGAGCACCCTCTAGGTCAGCACACCCAGCTGTCACACAGAAGCCGACAAACCACGAATTCCTCTGCCGACGTCCACAAACTGAACCGACACCCCCCCCACACTTAAACAGACAAGGAACCCCATTCTAGTATACCTCAGTACATGAAAAGACGTGTATATATTTTTATACCATCGGTTTTCTTAGTATACTATAGTCCATCGTTCCTCCTCCCCATGCCATGCACCCAAAACGCCCTGAACGCCCTAAACCCTGAACCCTGAACCCTGAACCCTGAACCGTCAACCCTAAACCCTAAACCCTAAACCCTAAACCCTAACCCTAAACCCTAAACCCTAAACCCCAAACCCAAACCCTAAGCCCTAAACCCTGATTAAACCCGAATAAGTTATAAACCACCCAACTCCTGGGAGAGTGGCACAGACTCCAAGCCGGCGCTGCGGAAGTCGAGGCCAAATCTCGGGGTCCGTCGGGGCTTAGGGTTCAGGGCTTAGGGTTTAGGGTTCAGGGTTTAGGGTTCAGGGCTTAGGGTTTAGGGTTTAGGAGTTTAGGGTTGACGGTTCAGGGTTTAGGGTTTAGGTTAGGGTTCAGTGATTCAAGGCTCGGGTTTAGGGTTTAGGGTTTAGGGTTCAGTGATTCAAGGCGCGATTCGGCTTGAGGGTTTGGGCCTTGGGGCTTCGGGGTTGAAGGACTCAGAGTTCGTATGGACTAGGGGGACCCTTGGGGATAAAGACCCTCGCAATGAGGTCCCTTTTAAGAGAGCCATAAGTAGGGATAAGAAGGATCCCCATGAAGGGGTCTCCCGAATACTACCTAGGAGTATCGGGGTTGGGAGCGCTCCGGTTGCGGGCGCAAGGAAGGAGCGTTGGGGGGGTTTAGGGTTGCCAGTATCTGCTAATGGGCTTTGAGGCTGGAAGTTTAGGGCAGCAGGAAGAGGAACGAGGAACGACCATAATATACTAATAAAAACGATCCTACACTAAGAGGTACTATCATAGACCAAGGTATATAATATATTTTCCATATACTAAGATATGCTATCAGGCTCTATTGGTGCTTCGGGGTTCGTGCTGCCAGTTCGATTGGTCGAGGCAAAGGCTCTCACAGGGCCCTAAAGGCTGCGGCTTAGGGTCTAGGGTTTAGGGTTTAGGGTTTAGGGATTAGCGATTAGGGTTTAGGGTTTAGGGTTTAGGCAACTACACATCGATCATATCAGCCCTCCCCCAAGCTCCTCCTGGTTCTAAACCCAGTTGCCTCGGATTCTGCACCGACGTGAAGATGAAGACTCCAAGAGCAAACCCTACATGGATAGTTCTCTAAAGTAGGGTCCCTGTTTTGGGCCCCAAAGATATTACGGCACCCTTATAAAGACAATCCTGAAAGGGACCCTGATTTAGACAACTACCCCCCCTAAACCCTAAACCCTAAAAGATCGCAGCTACAGCCCTCAACAACCCCGACCTTTAGGGATCTTCCCAGCTGAAGCATCATGTAAAGAGGTAGTTCCCAAAGTTAGGGTCCCTGTTTGGGTGCCCCCAAAGTACTACGGCACCCTTATGAAAAAGGACCCTAAACAGGGACCCGAATTTGGAGAGCTACCCACCTCGACCCCTGATCTAAAACAAAAAAACTCCCTCAAGAAGGAGTGCACCTAGCGATCCGAATATTACGGCCGCCAACCCTAAATACATCCGTAAACCCTAAACCCCTAAACCCCTAAACAACCAAACCCTAAACCCCAAACCCTAAACCCTACAAACCCTAAACTCCTAAACTTCTAAACTTCAAGGAAGGAGGGTCAGGGGTCTCTTTGGGAGCCCACCCTCAAAGGAGGTTGGAGCCCAAAAGAGGGACCCGGAGAAGTGCCCAAAACGTGTCCCTGAGGCTCCGTGCTGGTGACTAGGGTTTAGAGTTTAGGCTCTTAGGGTTTAGGGTTTGGGGTTTAGGGTTTAGGGTTCAGGGTCTCAGGGTTTGGGGTTAGGGTTGTGTAACATACCAACGTCTTCAAAACCACCTATTTCAATACAAATGCCCCTATATTCAAGCGTATAAAACCCGGCAAAAAATGCGTGCATCCCTGCTTGAAGCCTGAATCCCCTTGAACAGGCCCCTATAGTTATCGTATCTCTGAAAGACCTGTGAAGCAAAGCGGGAAAAAAAAACTAAACCCTAACACTCTGGCCCTGACACCCTAACACCCTAAACCCTAAACCCTAAAGCCCTAACACCCTAAGACCCTACACCCTAACACCATCCAAACATCCAAAACGCTCCTAAACCCTAAACCCTTGACCCCAAAAGCCCTAAGACCCTCACAACCAAAAACCCCAACACCATCCTAACATCTTAAACCCTAAACCCTCAACCCTAACACCCAAACACCATCCTAAACCCCTAAAACCCTAAACCCTTCTAAGACCTTAAAACCCTAAACCCCTAAACCCCAAACCCTAAACCTCTAAACCTCTAAACCCTAAACCCTAAACCTCCAAAACCCTAAACCCTTCTAAGACCTTAAAACCCTAAACCCCTAAACCCCAAACCCTAAACCTCTAAACCTCTAAACCCTAAACCCTAAACCTCCAAAACCCTAAACCCTCCTAAATCCAAGCGCGCCAAAAGGTGCCCTTTCATCGCCGTCGGCTTCTCGGGCTCCTCCTGCGCCGAGGCAGCCGAGAGGCTTTGTAGAGGGTTTCGGGTTTTAGGGGTTTGGGGGTTTAGGGGTTTAGGGGATTGGGGGTTTAGAATTTAGGGGTTTGGGGGCTTAGGGTTTTAGGGGTTTGGGGGTTTCGGGGTTTAGGGTTTAGGGCTTTAGGGGTCTAGGGTTTGGG